CCATCACCATGAACAAACTATTTTAGTGGAAAAAAGTCCTTCTCAAGACGAACGCTCTGCGATCTACTGAACGATCTGCGCAAGCATCACACATCTTCCCGAATGCGACTCGCCTACAAACCAAAGTGAAAAAAATTGAAGTTGAACAAATTTGTGTCTTCTTCGGCATCAGCAAATCGATAGAGTGAACTATTTGTTTAGAGTTACAAAACTTAAATGAATGCAAATAAATGTTTAGAAGCAAAGCGCATTATATAATATTTAAACATGAATTATTTCATTTAATTTATGTTTGGCAATTCGAAAAAATGTAAAATTTAATAAAAACTTGAAATCGATAAGGAATTAATTACCTATATACAAATGACTCTCATGCCTTATAAAACTCCTACGATTATTAATTTAATACATATTTGAATTGTTAAAAATATAAGAAAATTTAAAAAAAAATATTTATCTTAGCACAATTAAAGATTTAAAAAAAATTATATCTATGAAATGATGTACGAATCACTCCTATAGTTGTTGATTAGTGATTGATATATTCGTCGTATTCAAAGTTTACTGTACTAAATTCAAAATTCCAAAAATATGAAACCTGGCAAAAATTGTACGGACGGCGGGGTAGGAAGGGCTCAGGCATTGTTAAAATTGTGTGCGTTTTGCGTATACATATTAACCCTCCGCCCGACACCAGGGTCTGGCCAGATTCCTATATATTTTGTATGGAAAACATATGTACATATGATTTTGAAGATTGTACTGGTGGTTTTCGTTCTTTTTGTTGTAATTACATACTCACACTGCCATGTACACACATATACACAGACGTATTCACACGCACACATACGTACATTTGTCTGTGAATGAAGAAAATCCAGATTCAAAGGCAAGAGTTTGGGTTGATTTGACTATTACTGAGCTTGATGCATTTATTGGTGTACTTTTTGCTGCTGGTGTTACAAACAACAGAAGCACTTTCATGGCGTTCAGATGCTTTGCCCATCTTTCGTGCTGCTATGTCATATAGACGATTCCGTGCATTGGCCCGATATATTCGTTTCGATGTTAGTCGTACGCGTCAATTTCGTCAAGCATCCGGCAAAGCGGCTCCTATTCGCGATATATGGAATTTTTTGAACGAAAACCTCGCCAAAAAATATGAGCCGCATGAAAACGTAACCATTGACAGTTGTTTCCATATCGTGGTGAAACTAAATTCACCCATCAAAATCGGCTAAATATGGAATAAAAGTTTGGTGGCCATGCGATTCAAAGACAAAATATCCATTGCAAGGTAAATTATACACAGGCAAAGAAGGAAACGAGCGTGAGGTGAATCAAGGCGAAAATGCTTTGATACAATTGTCGAAAAATTACAGTCACAGTGGACGAACGATTGTTGCTGATAATTTTTTCATAACATTGAATGGAGCTAAACGACTGGCCAATACTGGTCTCGCATTTGTCGGTACAGTTCGAGCCAACAAAGCACTTTTACCGCCTGAAATGAAGAAAAATCCACAGCGTCCATTACTCTCATCTTTGTTTTGTTTTCATGAAAATTTGGTATCGCTTTGCAGTTACGTGCCAAAAAAACCAAAGCCGTAAATTTGATTTCAACCGTCTATTATACAACAAATGTCGGAGGCGAAGCGAAAAAAACCAGAAGCAATTCTGTATTATAATATCAACAAAGCTGGTGTCGATTGCATGGACCAAATGGCGACTCATTTTTCAATAAAACGACCGACCAACCGTTGGACTGTGGCTTTTTTTTTTCAATATGTTGGATATTATGGCATTGGCATCGTTTGTTATTTGTAAGGAAATGGATGGGCTACATAAACATGACGCGAGATGTTCATTTTTGAATACATTAGCCAAATAATTCGTTCTTGAAAACGTTGAAAACCGTATGAACAACCCAAAAGTCATATCTCAATTTACAACTCGAGTTGCTGTTGAATCTTTCTTTGAAAAACCTATAAACATTGCACCAAATTTGCTGAAAATGCATCGCAGTGAAGCAGATACACTCACCAACAAGAGAGACTGTCGTATTTGTTTACATGGAGAAGAAAAGCACAGCATTCGAAAACCAATTATACATGTTTTGCTTGCGTTCCACAGACCGATGTTAGTTGGTATCAAGTTTCATAAGAAAATCCTTTCAAATCCGTATACATTTGTCCAAACAGTATTGAAATGACTCATAAATAAATCATTAAAAAATGTAAACAAATGGCTTGTTTTTTTCCATGCCAAATATTTTTGTTGTTTTTTTTTAAACAGAATTATAGCTAAACATGTGCTCGAAGATATAAAAAGTTAAGGAACGAATAATATATACCTGAAAAATACATATGAGCCTCTCCATATAGCACTTTTTCCCATATAAACCTATATAAATAATCTGGCCAGACACCAGGTGTCGGACGAAAGTATATAAAGGGTGGTTTCGGACGAAGGGTTAAATTGCTTGCATGTATGGGTTTTCCCTTTGTCTCGAATTCAAAATCAATATTTAGATTTTTGCTAAAATTTAACTTCGACTTGAGGAAACTGTTTGCGGATGAAGAAGAGTCGAAGGAAAGGCAGTTTGAAGGGGTTGTATTGTATTTGTTGCTTTTATGCTTAGACTACTTTTCTATATTGAAATGAAATATTCTGGGATTTTCTTGAACTTTTAGAATAAGTTAGAAATTAAGCACACACAATCCTCGCCACAATTCTTTCAGCTTCTGACAAAATGCAAGGAAATACTGCCTGGGCAAAATGAACTAACAGGCGAACAGTAAATATAGTAGCACGATGCCTATTTGCTTTCATTTGTCAGTGGCAAGAAATTGAAGCAACGCCTGTTGACGATACATGTTGTTGTAGCTGTAACCGCAAAAATATTCCCCAAAGAACTTTTTGGGGAATGTTGAGGTAGTGACAGTCCTTGGCCGGACTGTCACGGAAACAATTGGATTTTAGTCGCCTCTTACGCATTACCGCGGGTAAATTCTTGAACCTAACCCGCAGAGGTGTTGACGATGCAAGAATGTTACGGGTTGAAGGAAGAAGTGTATGGTAATGAGTGTTGTTGTTGCTTAACATTTCGCGACCATAATGACTTTGTGTGTATGCGTTTTTTGACACTGTCGCTAAAAAGCAACTTGTTGGTATGGTATACATAGACACATACATACATATGTAAAAATTAATGTATATTTGATTTGTAAGTTAATAAAATTATTGATCAAACATCTCATTAATTTGTAGAAAATACGATTTATGAATAAACAACCCTGCTACTTATTATAAAAAACGCTATTGCGAAATGCCGACGGCAGATTGTCCCTTTATGAGGACATACATTTACTATTGATAATATAGGAATTTGAAAGAGATGTAAAATACATTAATGAAATAAATCCGCTCTCCCCTATTCCAAAAAAAATATATTAATAATTTGTGTTTCAGTGGATAGAATTTAACAAGAACCAAATAAATTGTATTTTAATAGGTTCCGTTTATTTCTAAAATAAAACCGCGGTACATCTTCCACTTCCTTAGCTGATCGGCAACCAAACGTGAAGTTTTGTGTAAACATCTGTTTTTATACACTTGTAGGCAAATTGTATTTGCCGTACGAGTTGGGCAGCCAGGAAAGTGTAATGATGTAACGTGAATTCCTAATAAATTACCGAAACAAAATACACTAAAAAAGGACGAGTTAAATATGTATGTTCATGAAACAGCAGCTGTATTTAAGTGTGCTTACGAATTAGCGAATAACAGTTCGATCATACGCATGTATCTAATTTACGATTACAAATAATAGATAGTGGAGACTTTTTCTCTTATAGTTAAGCTAAATATGTACTGTAGACAATATGTATATAAATACAATAATATATATATATATATATATATATATATACATGTATGTGCGCTTAAAGTTAACAGACAGCGAACCGCAACAATTTGAAAATAATAATTTCGTTTACTTTGATAACAAGCGAACAAAAACTCCTTAACTTTAGAGTTAACATAAACAATGTTAGTTGCAGCCAGAGCAGTACATTTCTGACCATATTTTATTTCGCTCAGTAATGTTATGCATCAATAGCAAATTGTTAGTTTCTGGCGGCCTGTGTTGAATTGCATCCATCGTAACTTGGCAGCTTTTGACAGTTTACACGCAGGTTCGCAATTAAACCTTCTCATTGTTGTTGTAACCACTTTTTGGGGAGTGAAAGTCCTTGGCCGGATAAAAACCCAGTTCCGGTATAAAGACCTGACTGTCGCGGGAACTATTGGATTTTAGTCGCCTCTTACGACAGGCATGCCTTAACCCCTGCGGGTTAGGGGCTCAAGAATTTACCCGCGGTAAGGCATGCCTGTCGTAAGAGGCGACTAAAATCCAATTGTTTCCGTGACAATCGACCCAGATTTTTATCCGGCCACGGACTGTCGTTCCCGCCACATTCCCCAAAAAATATTTTGGGGAATATTTTTGCGGTTACAACAACAACAACAACAACAACAACAGGCATGCCTTAGCGCTGGTCAACAGATGTATTTATGTTCTCTGGTTCAACAGATGTAAATGTAAATGTATTTAAAATCTCTGGGCACACATCTTACGTGTGCGACTTAATGTTAGGGGCGCTTTGTTACCGCTGAAGCGATTTTCGACCGATTTCTTCCAGCAAATTATGGTGCGTCTTGATGTTTTTCAAAAACAAAAAAATGGAGTGATCTATAGTTCTAAGCCGCCTTCGAATGGCTGAGGGATTTTTATGAGGAGTTTTATTTCACGTCAAAAAACTAATTTTCTTTAATTTTGGATGTTGATGATCGAACCCTTTGTTAGCCACTTCCTGCAGCCACCCCCACAAAATGAGGAGTATAACTTACCTTGTCATAGGTTAAATGATGATTGTATAACTCTTAGGACAAAAAGAAATCTTTTAAATATAAGAATATAGGTAATAAACGAAAACATATTTCAGAACAAGTAGTTACAGTTATATTTAAAAGCAAATGGATTTATTCCATACCACATCTTGATTGTTCTTGGGGTGTTGAGAAAACAATTGCTCGGATTAAGCCGTCTCTCACTGACTCGCTGGGGTTACCTACATTGAACATAAACTTAACTCTATTGCAGACAACATCCGGGACACATGTATACATTGGATACCAGCCGACTTTGTTAAAAACTACGTATACTTTATATATTAAATTACGGTAAACATATACTGGACGATCGAAGGTTATTTCCAGTAAAGAATCATATCGAACACGTGACGTGCAGTGTGTATATGTGAGCCTTGATCCCTGTATGTCTTGAATATGCGCGTACAGTATTTCCGTGTATCTCTCAGAAAATCCCGCTGAATTCATAAGCTCCCCACAAAGCACCTGAGTTGGAACTTGAACTCCTGAAAATAAAACATTTTAATAAACATAATAGTAGTGAAACATAAGTATTCGCGAAGCCGTCGTTATTTCGATTTTCGCAATTGCCTTGAGGTAGCAAAGTCGGATTCAAGATCGCAATTTCGTGTTATCTACGAAAATCGAAGCTCCGATGGAATCCGGAATATGGGTGATGTTGTTATTTTTATTAGAGGTTAGAGACTAATTCCACTAACCTGTAATCCATATGTTACTATCCACTTGAAAGGTGAGCCCACAATCAGTTACACTAGTATTTCTGTAGTCAAATTGTTGATTAAGTGTTCGGACGCAATAGGAACGCCGAGTATCATTTGTAGTTAAATCAGCATCATTATTATCCTGTAAAGTACTGAGATTAAAGGAAGATGTCTGAGGGCTTGTAGTTATGTTGGATGTTGAGTTTCCCATAATTGTTCTAAATGGTTCAAAAGTTGTTGGAGCAGGAGCATTTGATGAATCAGAATGACGATAAGACGTTAATTCTCTACGGCTTCGTGATTCATAATATTCCCGACTTGTTCTTAAATTACAAAAGCCATCCGGCATTGGACAATCATTTATAGTAGGACTGGAAATTTTAATGAGAATAGCAAGGGCTTCGTCTTGTTTAAGCAGCTTAGAACGTGCTGGTCCTTCTGCAAATTGTTGCGGAGTGAGTGTTAAAAACCGAATTTTCTGCACTGCTTGACGAATAAGTGCTTCGTCAACTTCGTTATTGGCACAAGAAAAAGAAGTGGACATACTTGACTCCGATTGCGAAGTTGATGTTTTTTGCATACCTTCCTTTTCATTGTAGGTGCTTGACGTTTCACTATCTAAAACAACTACATCATCTACTATTTGAGAATCGAATGCTGTTTCTTGCTGATGCACAATGCTGGAAACATCTGGCTCCATTTTAATCTCCACTACTTCTGAATGATCACTTTCTATGTCTAACGAATGTTGGCTTAAAGTTTTATTAAGTGATCCTGTTTTTAGCATGTGCACACGATCATTTTCTACAAATAACCCACGTTCTGAAGCAAATTTCACCAAGGCGTTAAAAAGATCTAACTCTGAAGTAATATTTAACCGATCTTGATCAAGAATAGCCATTAAGGTTGACATCTCTATATCCGCAAAGCCGGGATCTGCTAGCACATCTCGTGTATTAGCTGCTATAATCTGCAAAATATTTATTATTTAAAAAGTTGTTATAAATAAATGGCAAGAGCTCAATACTTACACTCATACTACTTTGCATTAGGCGAGGTTCGTCAAATAACTTAGCAAACTCATATGCACGGCAAGCATTTTTGGGGCTTAAATCAGCCCAGAGAAAATGCGTACATTGCTCAACGACATAAGGTAACATATATTTTTTTGCTACATAACATAACTCACACGCCTTATCGAAAGAGCTTATGCTAACGCGATCCGAGTAAATATACTCCATCATTGCTTGAAAAGCATCTGGTTGAACATCGGGTATTAAAATGGGATCACTCTCATCAGGGAGATTACCATAAAACATACGCTCAAACACGGGTGAAGACATTGCTAAAATCAATTTATGTCCAGCTAATATACGTTGATTTGGTGGTGTCCCTACCAGAAAACGACAATCTGACCACTTTTCTGACTGGAGTAAATGCAACCCACGCTCTTTTATAAATTGGAAACCATTCTGCCAGTCCAATTCCATATTAATTCTCTCGAAAGTATTATTTGTCACTTGTTATGATAAAAATTTTTACAACTAGTATACTAATTATGTATAACCAGAGAACTATATATATATAAATAAAAAACTTTCAATATTGCCACTTAAATAATTGGAGTCACAATTATTGGACTAAAATTGTATGAAGTGAATTAATACAATTCGCCTTGACCAAAGAACGTATATGAGTAAGAAGCGACAAGACTCATACGGTCTTTGTGCAAATGCGGTAGAGTCGTTTTCAGGGTTTCGTGTCCTCTTCACACCATTTTTCGTCGACAAGAGAACGTAAATATTGTTGCGAAAATGCGAGGCGAATGTCAGATGAAAGAGAGAAGCCGATAACTAGTACATTCTAGAAACGATAAAACAAGAACCTTCCATAGCGAACAAATCGACGCTTCTACGCTTTCGTCTGCGAGCAGCCGACTGCTATATAAGGGGACACTCAGCTGCCAAGTTAAGTTAGTTATAAAGTGAGCTCGTTGGCGTTAACATCAGTTAAGTCGTAAAGTGAGCGCGTTGGGAATTACATTTAAGTGGAGTAAATTGTGAAAGTTGATGCAAGTGATTGTAGCTAGTAAAGTGCATTTTAATTGAATTTTAAATTGCGGAGTAAATAAATGACATTAGATAAAATCTTTGTAACGAAAGATACTGCAAATTGAATTGGCGAGTTTTTATTTAACAATCCAGAGATCGTACCCGAAGGATTTAGAAAATAATCGAGGTTGATTTAGTAAAATCGTAACAATATAGAACATGTAAAATAAATTCGATAGTGATCGGATCATTTGTTTGTGAGTAATCATTGCAGCAAATTCGAAAAATGCTATTTTGAGAAAAAAGCGTTTAGAGATAAAATGATCATTTTCACTCGAAGCTAATGTGACTGTCGAGCTGCCGAGCGGCTGCTCTTTAAATTGCTATAACTCAAAAACTTTTTGAGAGATCGAAATTTTAATGTCATTTTTAAAGGCGTAATCTATCGTAATATGTAAAAATATCGAGTTCTTTGAAGTTTCACACTAGGTGTGCCCCTTAAACTGGACGCAATGAATGGAGAAGGAATAAATTATATAAGAAATATAAATTCGATTTCTACTTGAGCCACATATGTATGCTTTTCAATTTTGATGTCACCAAAACATATGCACACTCATATGAAAATGTATAGATTTTTTATTGAACTATTACATAGATAAATTTGAAAATGTACACTAGCTTTGTTTAAATTTACAGTTTTTCAATACGCAGCTAAAAGTCTTTATACACTGCAATTGCTATTTCTCGTACAACTGGGCTTTTGTTTTCTTTTTGATACCCTTTCAAGCGAAAATTTGGTTTCACTTCAACATATCGCCCCTCCGAACTACGAATGGTGAGAACGATTTTCGGATCGGATAATGACTTAACGATTATTTTAACGATTTTGCTATTCCCTAAGCGCAATATAACGCTTTTCGGATCACAAATTAGATTAGCAATATTTTTAGCGATGCTCGCTATTCTCCAAAAGGGTATAACGTTTTTCGGATCGCAAAGAAGACTTGGCGATATTTTTAACGATATTCGCGATAATTTTAACGATTTTAATATGCGGTGTACCTATTTTAACGACATGCGCTCACGCTGTTGGCGAAAACTTTTTGACAAATCGTTCACTAAGCGACGAATATATTTAAATATTTGCGATATCGACAAAATGTTGTTTTTTTCTTTTAGGAGAGTAAAGTGTCCAGAAAATTGCCTAAGCTATACAAAAAATAATAAAATAAATGGCTTTAGAATATTTGGCATACGAATTATCACAAGACGAAAAATGTATCCTACCTTCCATCATTTTCTTCCGAGTGGATGCTTCCGAGTTTCGGCAGCTATTTCGATTAACGCCGGATTTAGTTGAAGAAATCGTTACTCAACCAGATTTCCAACTGAAAGGAAGAAGAATAACAACATTGTCTACGGAGAAACAGGTAATAATATATGTTTTCAAAATTTTTTTAGTCTTAACACTATTAAAATGTTTAAAAGTTGCAACTGCCTTGCAATTTTGGGCAACTGGATGCTATCAACGTCCCGTCGCAAGATTATAGTGTCAAATGCGAAGTAGCGAAGAGCGCACCACAATTATTTTATTTGGAGGTCTATAGAGCGAAGAGTCATGCATTAAAGTGCAAACCATAATATGTTTTTGATCAACTTTGTAATGCATTACTATAAATTTAATAAAAATAATTTCTATAAAATATTTATTTGTTTTTGTCGTTCCTTGCTTGTGCTTTTCGCATATTTTTATTTGTTGTTAAGCTGAGGTGCCACTCTTCATACACATGAATAAAATGGAAATGTGCAATGTCGATTTCCGAAAAAACTGAGTTATCGCCAGCGACAAAGTTCGCAACTTTGCGATCCGACAATCGTGTCGACAAAAGTTACAAAATTGCACTGTGGCGATTAGACCTTCAATTTACACTCCTTCTGAAAAAGCCAATTTACGAGACCGTCACGGCGCTTCCGATTTATTTACGTTCCTTGTAAATAGTAAGCCAAACATTGTAGTACGGCTGATAGGCTCAGAAGTGTAGGCGCTATGTTATGACGTATCTTCATCGATAAGCGGCGTAATCGATATACACTGCTTTGGTATTCGCTTATAGGGTCTTTTTCCCTGTTGTTCCTATCGCTTTTTTCCGCCATTACGTGTTAATTTGATTTGCTTGGATGCAGTGTGCGGGCGGCGGTATCTGTTAATAATTCAAAACTTTTGTTTTAAAAATCTGCGTTTCATCTATTGCGTATAGAATGTAAACTACTGAACGTTATATTAAATATTACGTTATCCAAACCAATAGTTTAATTTGCATGATAGTGTTGTATATCAACGAAAATTTCGAAAATAATGTGTTGGAACTACAATCAGTTGGATTGTCCACTCAGCAAGTTAGTAAAAATATTTTCAAATGTGGTTAATTAATGAAATTCAATTAATTTAAAAAAATTAGTACTGGTCTAATAGCAATCGTAATAAATGAGAGTGGTGTTGCTAAAGGTACCATATTAAACAGTTGATCTTAAAACCGTGAGTTTATGAAGATAGGGCAACTCTATATACGAAAGAACAGAAAATTCATATACGTGTACATAGCTATGTATTATAAAATTGTTAAATTATTGTGATCGGGAACCATAAAGGCATGTGAGGAGCAGAACCATATGGCTCTCACCCTATTTGGAAGTCGAGGAATTAAAATTTCGATTAATATAACTACCTCTCATGGGCTTTGTGATTCTCTACAAAAGGAGCGTGTGAGGGTCCTTCCCAGGGCTGAGCTTATATATTTGCAGCTCCACTTGATATTGTTAGCAAACAACCAGGAGTTTCGACATGTAACTTCGTAGTAATGATGATAGAAATATATTTTTGAAAAATTTTTGTTTAAAGCCACAGCTTTCGTAAATAAATTTTGTATTAATGGAAAGAGGAAAAAGCCTAGATACTAACAGGCCTATTCTCACTGTTGCCGGTAAAGTAAATTTTGTTACATTTCTTTATCACCCATAATATAATTTGGTATTCTGGCAAACTGATTATAATGTTTAAAAAAAATCGGTATTTATACAGGAGAGCGGCTTCTGCTAAAACTGTCCCAAAATTATGGGTTTTTTTTGGCTAAATAGGTGTGTTTGATGATTATCTTTTTCATTTCTTTTTCGTGGAAAGCTGAATTTTTCAATCGTTTTATTATTAACATTTCAAGATACACTAAAATCACTAGCACACACATTACATACAAATACATGGCTAAAGCGATGTTGCCATACTGTGTCAGAAACTTAAAAAAGAGCAATGAATAAGGCTGCAACTACCCAACGAGCGTACCAGCCGTCCATAGTAACCTATCTTATGAGAACTCCATGTAAACACAAAGTTGTCACTGATTTCCCCCAAAGCGTTACTGACGTTTGTGTCGCAGAAACCAACGACGTTTTGATTTTTTCCGTAAAACCGGCTCGGCTCATTTTTGGTTGCTATACAAGGTTGCCAGTATAGCCTTTCTGGTAAAATTTTTGTTTAGAGCCACAGGCTTTCGCCAATAAATTTTATATGGACGGAAAGAGGAAAAATCCTAGATTCTTAAACTAATTTTCTTTTCATTAGCTGACTTAAAGTTTTTTAATAATTCTATTTTAAATTTTGAGTAATAAATGCAAAATTACGTTTACATTGGAGTTGCCGGACTACTAAGTAAAATAATACTTAAGTAGAGAGCCTGTTTGTTTGTATTTTGGCTAGGCAGACGTAGGTACTCAGTAAAAAGATTTATAAATTAAGGATAATAAGGAAAATATAATAAAAAAAATTGTTTAAAAAATAAAATGTTATTCACTTAAAAATTTTAAGTTAAGTAAAACTCCTTTATAAATAAATTGGAGGCCTTTGGCCGCACTTTGGATTGTAACCCTGGGCCGGACCAACTTCGGCTTCGCCTTGCACAGTGTTCTTAAGTGAAACTTCTTTGTAAATTGGCGGCCTTCGGCCGCGCTTTGGATTGTAACCCTGGCCAGACCAAAACCGGCTTCGCCTAGCACAGTAAATTTTCATTTTGTTTTGTTTTCATATATTGTTGTTGAATATTGTTTAATTTGTATAATATTTTACATGGTACGGCACCACCTTCCATGTTCATTGCTGAATATTGTTGATTTTACAGAATATTTTACCCTGAACGACAAAACCATCCATATTAGTATGCAGCCATGCGCTTTAATATATACAAAATAAGTGAAACTATTTAATAAAATCAAAGTAATATTTGTTTTTGTTAAACAAAAATGAAAGAATAGTGAGTGATTCATAAAGAAATAATGGAATAAAGTTAACAATTTATAACAACAAATAACTTATAATTTATAATATATTCAAATCCTACGAAGTTTCATGTCGAAATTCCTGGTTGTTTGCTTACAATATCAAGTTTGGCTGCATATCAAAGCTCAGCCGCCTTTCTTAAAGTAACATTAAATAATCGAAGAAAATGCGTAGTTTTGTTCAAAAGAAATGAAAAATAAATGCGTAACTAATTATTTGTTACTATAGAGATCATGTATATTTGTCTTGTGTTTATGTTCAAGCAAATAAATTATAAAATTCGTTGACGAAAATAATGAATTTGTTCAAAAGTGTGCAAACACACAGGCAGCTGGCAACATTTCTCCGCTCTCAGCGGCGTCGATAGCTCGTGTATGTATTTCACTACTAACGTCGTCAGACGTTGCCATACTGTGTAAAAAACTTAAAAAAGAGCAATAAATAAGGCGGAGCAGGAGGAGAGTTTCACTTAACTTAGAATTTTTAAATGATTTTTTAAAACAAATTTTTTTATTATATTTTTCTGCATATTTAACCATAAATTATAAACCTCTTTACTAAGTGGCTACGCCTGTCTGTTCAAAAAAAAAAAAAAGTTTCTATACTTAAGTATTATTTTACTTAGTAGTCTGGCACCTACAATATATATGTAAGTTTGCGTTTATTACTCAAAATTTGCAACAGAATTATTAAAAAAATATAAGTCAACTAAAAAAAACTAAAATTAGTTTTAGAATGTCGGCTTTTTGGTCTTTCCAACCATACAACATTTATTTACGAAAGCCTGTGGCTGTAAACTAAAATTTCCCCCAAAGCGCGGCCGAAGGCTTCCAATGTACAAAGGATTTTCACTCAAGAATACTGTGTAAGGTGAAGTCGGTGTTGGCTGTTGCCACTTTCCACAAATATGCTACTTATTATCATATATCAAATTAAAGGTACTTACATGCTCTTTTTGTGTTAGTTTAGCCGATGATGACTAGATACGAAACTCTTTATTCCGGGAGAGCGGTCAATTTGAGTGATTTTGAGTAAGTTTCGCATCTAGTCATCTTTGGTTTAGCTTATGGTAAATACGGCAAAATTTTAAGAAAAAATCGATTTTCAATAGAATTTTTTTTACTGTATTAAGAGTTCCGTGTGATTATATTAGCTTTTATTTGGCAATTTCGGTTAATCAAAACTTAAACCTCAACAATAAACTACTCGACAACTTTAAGTTATTTCGGGGAATGACATACATTTTCGTGATAAGTATGACCTAAACCTCTTAAAAGGAAATTTTTTCAATGCCTGTCGCACCTTCTTGAAGTCGACCCAAATCAAAAAACAAAAATCTTTGTGATCGCATGTGAACAGATTAAATTTACTATTTTGCATCATGATGTTAAAGATAGTTTATAAGTTATTTGTTGTTAAAAATGTTTAACTTAGTCACATCGTTTCTTTATGAAATGTCACTATTCCTTACTTTCCCTTTGAAAAGAAATTAGTTTTCACCAGAAGGTTTTCGTAAACAAATCTGGTAAAACTACATTCCTTTCTTCTAGCTGACTTACAGCTTTTAAATAAAATTATAGAACATTTCATAAAAAAATATTGTGATTAAATTAACAATTTTTAATTGCAAATGACTTACCAACTATAACAATAAAATTAAATAGTTTTTAAGTTATAGTCGATATCCAACGGCGAAAAAAAGGTCCTTCACTGCTGCAGTGATTTCGGCCTTCTCTGTTGATGAAATCTAAAAAAATTCTCTACTAGGTAATATTGTCTGTACAATGACGTACGATACAAAAAAAAATCAAAAATTTACAAAATGGCGGCGTTTAAAAAAAATAGACGAGTTTTACCAACATTTTGGTCGTTTTTGACTTGCCAAAATTCGATTTTTCGATCAGATCGATAGGTCATTGTACGGAGAACTATATATAGAACATATGAAAAAAAATCGAAAGTGATCGGATCATGTGTTTCTGAGTAATCACTGCAGCAAATTCGGAAGATGCTATTTCGAGAAAAATGCGTTTAAAAATAAATTTATCGTTTTCACTCGTAGCTAATGAGACACTCTAGCTGCCGAGCGGCTGCTCTTTAAACCGAAATATGAAAAAAAGATCGATTTTTTGAAATTGCACGCCTTAACTGTACAACTCTCTATAATCACACATATTAATCTCCTGTAAACACACAATTTACTTTGCTTTTTTCCATGCATCTTCTGAATCTGTATGAATGTTCACAATAAGGAATATTTAGCTTACGCGCTCTGTATTGTGCTAGAGCATCCTTTAGTTGATGCTGCCCCATGTATCGCCATGATCCTTTGCATCATAGCCTATTACTAGCGGAAGATGTTCCTCTTTGCAATAATTGATTAGATGCTCCCTTACCGGTGTTGATATGATGTTGCTGTCTACAGGAAAGTGAACGGATGATACTACAATATTTGCTTTCTTTCCGTCTTCTGTGAGTAGTAATACTGCTACCAGGTCTCTATTTATAAACTCTAACAGCCAAAAGTAGTTTATATATCTGTTAAATTTTAGAGTTATAACACGTAACATTCCGTATGAATTTGTGGATTTGCCTTTGTATCTCCTCACCTTAGTGAACGTTCAGCGGCAGTTACCTCTGATGTTGCGTGAGCATGGAAGGCGTTCTAGGTGAATTCCGTTAGCTCATATTTACCGCAAAATTTTAAGAAAAAATCGATTTTCTGTAGAAATTTTTTTTTTACTGTATTATCGATATTTAAGAGTTCCGTGTGATTATGTTAGCTTTTATTTGGCAATTTCGGTTAATCAAAATTTTAACTTCAACAATAAAGTACTCGAAAACTGTAAGTTACTTCGGGGAACGATATACATTTTTGTGATAAGTATGACCTCTAAACCCGTAAAAGGAAATTTTTACAAAATGATGTTAAAGATAGCTTACTTTGCCTTTGAAAAGAAATTAGTTTTCACCAGAAGGCTTTCGTAAATAAATCTTGTGAAACTACATTCCTTTCTTCTAGCTGACTTATAGCTTTTGAATAAAATTGTAGAACATTTCATTAAGAAAT